TTTAGCGTCAAACTGCTGTGATATTTTGTTTGTGGGCCGCGGCCCGTTCAATAGTCAGGGTCCAGGGCCCGATTTACCCCTGCGCAGACAGACCAGACATAGAAATAATCTTTTTGCCAAATATACCCCTCCAAAAACGCTCTGGAAGCAGAATTTTTGAAATGGGGATTCATTTTTCCCCTTCAGCGTATTATAAATAGAGTAGATAGTAGAGTAGAGTAAATATTAAGGCACCACTTTTCTACTACTCTCAAACAAGCAAGCGAAAGCGGACAAAATGCAAATAAAATTGGTTTTGCTCGGTGGACGATACACTAAATTCTCGTAGACGGTAAACCACGGTTAATTACATTATCCTAGATGGGGGAGACGAAAATGAGGAGAGATAACCCATCGCTTCATCGCTGTTGAAATTCATAGATTTGTTGGATTTGGAACCTAAATCTATTTTATCAGAAAGTTAAGAAAAATCTATCGTTTGTTTGCATTTCTTTTATGGACCAAATCCATGGATCCTACGAACTGGTAAATCCCACATATTGATGTGGGATTTATAACATGTCATAAATCCATGATAAGATTTTACTCATATACCCTCATGAATTTTATAAGTTCCAAAGTTGCTCTCACATTTACTTACTGTACATTATAAATAATTAATTATTAACAACAACAAAAAAATATAATATTCCATTATTGTGCAAACATGAGCTAGATTTTTTATACCATTTCTTGTGTTCTAGTTTCCTTTGCCCTTTTCATGGAACGTGTAATTCTTTGTTCTCTCGTTCTAATATATGTTGTTATATGTTATTTTTGAAAATGAGGACAAAGAATTGACAACCAATATATGTTGAGTTAAAAGTTAATCGGAATTTCCCCGTTTATTATTTTTGTCTTCATGGCAAGATTATGCTTATTAGTATGTATTGTCCTTGTTTTGTGTACATGTCATAAACATCACAAACAAATAAAAAATTATAGTATGGTAATTTTGGACTTTAAGTTCTAAATCCTAAACCCTTAAATCCATGATAAAACATCTCAATAAACAAAGGATTGTTACAAATCCATAATGCCTCAAATCCTTGATAAATCCTTGAGTTTTTAAATTACAAAACCCTCATTTTTAATCCATGAAGCAAACGATCCTTAAATTCTCATTGATAATGACATAGGTGGGTTGAATGGTGAAAAACTCAAAGAACTTTTCTCACTCAATGATCATAATCATCTCAAAGATGCCCTTTCGATTCCCCCTTGGATATGATTCTAGAGTTTGGAAGGCTTCGGAAAATGGAGCCTATTCAGTTAAATTCGCTTACTACTTCATTCGAAGTCAACAATATCAGTCTATGATTCGAACCCGTAATAGAAATCCGCATGATTCTGAGGTCTGGAAATTCCTATGGAAGCTTCATATCCAACTTATGGTTCAAATCTTTCTATGGAAAGTGTGTAATAATATCCTACCTATTGGTGTCCATATCGAATGCATGCCCCCGGTGAGTGCGATTGGATCCGTAAGCGCTGGCAATGCTGTGAGGAGAAAGATCTTTATGAGTTTGGAGAAGGAAAGTCTTGTTTTGATTGGATTAAAGACATCTTCAAAAAATTTCCAGAGGATAGAGTTCAAAGATTCTGCTCAATATTGTGGTACATGTGGAAAGAATGGTGCAACCACAAATACAATAATCGGAAGATGGGAGAGGATGAGATCGTCCCTCGAGCTATTGGATGGCTTTCGCCGTTCCTTGCTTCTCAATCAAACCCATATCCTATTCCTCCTACATGCCCGCCTCATTGCAGATCTCTGCAGGACTGTCACTGGTCCCCTCCTCCCGAGGGTACTTTCAAAATGAATTCTGATGCTGGAGTGTTTCATCAACAAGGAATCGGCTTGGACTACACCATCCGTGACTGACGTGGGGAGTTTGTTGGAGCGATGGCGAAGAAAGAAAAGGGTACCGGTCGGCCGATTGAAGTGGAAGCCAAGGCTATGTTGATGGGGTCTGCGCGAAGCAAATCGCATGTTGCTCCCTAATAATTGAATCTGATTGCCAGGTGCTTGTGAGCTTGTTGAAGAACGAGGAAGAAGATTTTGCAAAGCTGGAAATTTTGTGTGAAGAGCTTAAGAAGATGGTGATTGTCAATGAATCTTTGTATGGTTGTAAGGTTAGGTGGGTGTTTTCACCAAGAAAGTCTAACTCGATGGCCCACTAGTTGGCCCGTGATGGTTCGGGTTGGGATCACCAGTTTGTGTGGGTTAATAATCCTCTTTTATCTCTCAGATGTTTGGTTAAGGCCGATTTGGGTCAAGTTCCCCTAGGACAAGGCTGATCTCTATTAATATAATTCTCCATATTTCCTATAAAAAAGAAATTGCTTACTGTAGTTTTATGTTCAAACGAACGCCCAAAAATATATTTTTTAAGTGGATGCAAGTCACGTAATAACCAAAAGTTTAACTCATATGAAAAACTGGAACACAATGTAAACCAAAAGGTATTGTGCTGCCTGCCAAGCAAGAAGAAACGCCCTATTTGAACTCAAATAAGGCCATCTGTGTTGGACTTGGCATGCTCTTAACTTAAGCCCACTTCTGTTCAGCCCAAGTTCGTCGCCAACTCTAACATAGCGTCCTTCACCTTGCCTCCGCCAACACCAAAAGAAAAGAAGGAAAATAGCTTCTTTTCCAATCTCCTTTTCCAAGAACACCCCAAACTGCTCCTTAGCAAGCCGATACAACTGCTTTTCCAGAACACAAAGACGACTGCTTTTCAACACTATTTTTCATCACCCTCCAAGACCCTTTCAATAAAGTTCATCATCGCCAACATCAAATCCTCCAACGGTCATCATCTTGGAGTCTATTTAAAGGACCATAACCCTTCTTCTCAAATTCAACGGATTGCACCAAGAAAGCTAGAAGCTTTGGGTTGCAAAGGGTTCCTTCCTTTGGCAGATGTCAGTCATATAGGTTACATGGAATTGGGTTTAATTTGAGTAACTATCCTTTGGGATTATCTCTTGGGAGTTTTTAAATCATATCCTCATTCTTCCCCCTTTCTACAGAGATGGGTTTCTGAGTAGATAGGAGTTGGAAGATTGATTTTAGTTCCCCACTGTTTGAGTTCTTCGGAATTTTTTTTTCTTTTCATTTGCCTATTTCCTTTGGTTGTTCTTGTTAAAAGCAGTCATAAAACTGCAGAATGACCACGTTTAAGTTATCAATTCCCAGAAGTATCTCTTTTGATTTACTTCTTCAATTCTCAAATTGAAAAACCTAAATAATTTTAAACCTAGCCTAGCATCTCAATATGGTGCGATGTAATCAATATGTGGATAGTGGAATCATCAGAATTGAGGGTAGTACACTCAAAATGTAATGCCTTCCATGAGACCGCGAATTTAATCATCATAGAAAATGTTGCAAACTCTGTAAGGCATATTAATTTCTAATTTATACATATGATGGGATGACAAAACCGTGATTCAAGAGCTAATTTATAGCTATATTTTCTTCTTCATACCTATAAGTTGTGGAAACTAATCAATCTTAGGTCAAGTTATACTATCGATAAAAGAGATGTAAGGGCGAACTTGAGCCGTTTTATGCTAGAGGGTCTCAATGGCAAGTTTTAGAGTTTGGGCGTATAATAATACTTGCTACAAAAAGTAAATTTTCAAACAATTTTGAATCACTATATTGCCTACATCTCAACCTAAATTACATATTAAACTAATCTTATGTAATGATTTCTCAAACCCAATACAAATTCTACAAACTAAGTTTTTCGATTCGAATATAATTAATGGAAAACCAACCGGTAATTAATTGGTGTAAATTTTAGATCCTTCTTTGTAAATGAATTTTTTTAAAATTGCTCTCCGAAATTTATTCCGTGAGATTCAAATCTAATTGGTGAAAGGAATTAAGTGAGGAGAAAAAAGACGAACTAGGATACGCCAGGAAACTTCCAAGAAAATGGAGGGTGGGGTCCTCAAAAGAGAAAAATGGATGGTCTTAGCAAATGAGCGCCAGCCATGTGCCAGCTCTCTGGAGGCTAAAGTGACTTCACAGTTCAGCCATCCCATAAATAAAATATATTATTTTCATGTCCCATAATAATTCAAAGCATAATTATAATTACACAGAAAAATGGGTATTTAGACTTAACTATTGTTAAAGTTTTGTATTAACTGTGGGCTTAACCATGGTTAAATCAAACAGTGCCTTGAGTTGCATTCGCCCTTATAAATAGCTTTCGAACTCTTCATCTCTGCTCTAATTTTCAGTAACTGAGCCAACTCGTCTCACACTTCCCACGTAGTCCAGTCCCGCTTCAACTCGGTCTCCTTCTTTTTCCCTCTCGATCGCTTCCTCTTTGATTATTCAAGGTTCAAAATTCTCTACCGTCTCCTTAGATTCCTCTTTCCCTTTCCCCCTTTCTCCTTTCCCTTTACGGTTGCTGTTGAATGGCGACTGGTTCTGTTTTCCCCTGTTCTGGGCTTGTTGTTTCCAGAATCTCTGTCGATTCCTTGGAAATATTCATTATCTTCTCTGGGGGTTTCATGGGTTTTGAGCTGCTCCGTGGAGATTGAGGGAAAGGGGAAATGATGTGTTGAAATGGGAAAGATATGAATTGAAAAGGGTTCTCCTCATTTTTGTTATTTTGATTTTGCTCGAGCTATGCAATTTCGATCGAGTTTCATTTTTGTGCATTCTTCAATCTTTAATTCAATGGCTGCTTGTGGTGGTGGCGTGTGGAATTTTCTCTTTTCTTTTTCTGTTCGATTATCCATTTGCATCTTTTTCTTCTTCCGGGTTTTGATCATTTAGAGATCGATAGCTATACCAATATCTAAATGGATTGTTACATTATGAGTTTCCATATTCAGTTAAAATTTCATTTTCTTTAACTGTAGCATGAGGAGGTGATAACCAAACATTGCTGCAAATCTCCCCTCAACCCCTTGCAATTGAAGTTTGATTCACCATGTGTCCTCCTTCACTAAACCCTAATGCTGAAATCGGCTTCGATTGTACTCCAGAGGAGATTTGCAGCTCTCTTCGCAAAATGATGAAAGGGTCTCCTCTCTCCAGCAACGTTGTCGACGACATTTGCCCCTACATCTACACCCCATCGAATCTGCCAGGTAAAAATTGCCTTCTTGACCATGATATTGTTAGCGATATAGTTCGATGTAGTTTCTGTTTGAATTTTGATCGTTGTCTGATAGTGATGGTGTTGGTAGTGCAGCTGGCATATGGTATTTGATCGAGAAATCGATGGAGAAGGACAAGGAAACAGAAACTGGGCTCAGGAAGTGAAGGGAGAGGCATTGAAGCTCTTCACAAATGCTGCAATTACTGGGTGGAGAAGCACATTGGACTACTATGAAGGCCAAAGCCCGAGTGTTCTCAAGACAGATTGGTTGATGCAGTAATATTGGGTTACCAAAACCAATCTGGATGGAAGCAGCAAGCAAGCAAAGGTATTTCAATCTAAAACCCTTGATTCTCTAGTGCTTATGATTTATCTAGTTTCCTGTTCTCCACCCAAAACCTGTCAGTCAACTGTCAGAGATTGGTTGGATGGGGTTTTTGTAGGAATCCAGCAGCCTATGTCGAGTCTTCATTGAACAAGAACATATAAATCATAAGAGGGAGGAAGTGGATGCCCAAAATCTAGTATTTGCTGCTTCCAGTACTAATAGCAGTGGATCCACAAGCAAGGCTGAGGTATGTTCCAGTTTCGACCTTTTGATCTTGTTCTTATCTTGGGTCTGCTTGAGTTCTTCATCAGCCTTGTTATTTCTTTTGTTTGTTTTGAAGTCTATTATGATTTTGTAGGGTGATAGGGCTGTTGTTGCAGATCAATTGGCTGATGATTTGGAAGCTGATGATGATTGTTATGCTCAAGGAGACTAATTGGAAATGCTGGATCTGGATATTCCATTGTTCAGTTCTTCAAGTACAGACAATTCAAGTTGCATGTCATTATCATCGAATGAGTATTTCGATTCGTTGGGTTTGCTTCGAGAGATAGAATCTGAAAGCATCCAGGAATCTCTACAAAAGAACGTCGCTGCCTCCTATAAGCCAGATGAGATGATACTTGGTCCATCTTCTCTAGGTTTGTTAAGAAAATGAAAGCTGAATTATACATGGATGCGTTTGGAATTGAACCTGAGTTTTGATTGAGAATCGTCTATGCTTTTCTCATAGGATCAATAGTCAACATTCATGAGAGAAAGCCAACATGTGAACAGTCCGAGAGCAAGCCAACCTGTGAGCAATCCGCACATGTTGCTGGTCCATCTGGGTAGAAGGATGAGGTTAACCAATGACGATCTAGAAAGCACAAATTGGCTTACAAGGACAAAGGTTCATCATCAGATTCTTCTTACGGAGGCCATTCCTCATCTGGAGGTGATGGTGGGGAGAAGAAGGCTTCTTCTTCCAAGGGGAGAACGAAGAAGAAGCGTAAGAACAAGTATTTCTACTTCATGCCATTCAACTTCATGTTCTGACCTTTGCAGTGTTTAGTATTTTTTATACAAGAATATCTTTTGATCTGTGAGATAGAAGTGTATAATGTATAGATAGAAATAGCAACGAAATGATGGATCTTTCTATTGATGGATCCTTGACAGAATAGCAGAGGCAGGCAGATATAATGAAGAAGGGAAAGAAGGAATGATGACATGACATGGGGATCAGGTGTATATGTTTGTGAATCACTTTTGGTGATCTTTTTGTTCTTTGATGCTGTAGTGATGGATACATCCTCAGCAAATTACTTGTTGACGCTATTGTGTAAACACTATTAAGTTCCTTGTATCATAGATTCATAGTACATACTCCTTTCGCTTTAATTGCTTTTCCACATACGTGTAAATTTTGTTTGACAAGAGACTATTATTCATCAAAACTGATTCATCAACATTCCAAAGATCTTAAATTGGTTCTGCATAACCTTATCTGTCTACTTTTGTTTTCTCTTCTCTGTGTAATTCAACTTTATACTTCTCGGCTCTCGCAACAAGTTATAGACCTCTTTAAATATGAAGTACAATCTCCTTTTTACGTCGTTAGATACAAATGTAAAGATGATAACATCTCCAGCACGATCTGAGTTTAAAGCTTCGAATCAACAAAAACACCAATCAAAATGTGCTTAAATGAAAATGGATATGAAATTGTGGCATATATTTTACTGATGTGTGATCTATTGAATTTCCAAGGTGTAGGAGTATTCAAGGCCTGCTGAGTGCTGAGGCTGGTGAATGGTCTTAATTCACTTGCTTCTTATATGGGCCTAACAAGGATCCTTGGCTCCCTAGACTCGGACGAACTGGATCGTCAGGCCCATTCGTTAACTCTGCTTCTTGAAGCAGACAGATAATCCCTTGAAGGAGCCCAAACATGTATTAACGTTACTTCAGCCAAACAAAACAACTCCACTGTCCAGTCTTACCACCAATGTTGTGGTTGAGAAGTGCCAAAGTGTTTCACTGTTTTCCAACTTCAATCAGAATCGTATTTGTATATACTCAATAAACTTGTGTTCAAAGAGATTCCAATTCCTCATGAATTTATTTTGAACCAGAATCTTTTGTCTGAATTGTATCCTAATTTTTCTGAGGGAAAAAATTATCGAACGTTTAGCAGCCCCTCACGATTTGACACCAATTAGTTCTTTTATTTGTACTTAAACATCATTTTAAGTTTATCCATAACTCTTTATTCTATAATCAACATTTTATTTTGCACCTCCAGACTACTTCAGGGTTAATAGACATATTAGTAAAAAGTATACTTGACTTAAATTAAGGCGTTCAAAATACAAATTGTACATACCTTCTCAAACTTTACAAAAAAAAAAAAAAACTATAACTTTCCAACACGTAAACTCGAGTTGACTCACGAGTTCATTGATTGCGCATTTACAGGGCAATCGAGAAATGACCTCATTTTATTAGCAGTTACTAACAACAGTTACGGTATGCCAATCTCGGGAGAGGTCAATTAAAGTCCATCTCTAGAAAATGTTTGTAAGCACAATGTTTGAAGTATCATATATGGTTGATTTCCCTCAACCAGGTCCAGAAGGTCCATGAAACATAAATAATACACCAATAGAGTCAGCAAAATGCATTGATAATGACACCAAATTACTATAAATGTGCTGCAACAAAACATATCCTTTGAACAATGGAAAGGGACATCAAGTTACATGACAAACCTAACCAACACTACCACCTTCCACAAAATGCCACAAATTTCTTCACATCTCTAACACACAAAAACAGAAGTAGTAGTAGAATAGAAGAAGAAGGCCCCATCTCCATCTTCCCTAGCTAGATTGTGACTCTTTACCTAATGCTATGCCCATCATCCATCTTTAACCTCTCTTCTCACTTATTGTTCCCCTTTCCTTCACCTTGTTAGGTTTATCACTTATCAGCTACCCCATATAATTCTTTTATGGGTCATATTGAGGGAGTTTCATCCATAGATCATTGGATATAACTAAAAATATTTCGAGTAAGTCAAACGCCTTAATTATTAGGAGGAAAATATTGCATGTAGAACATGTAAGAGATGTTCGTTTGAGCTCGTGCAACTTCAAACATTCAATGAGTTGTGGGTGCATACAAGTACAACCCTGTTATCTACGAAGTTGTCATCAATTTGACTGTAAAAGTACAACTCAGGAATCAAACAACTCATGCGGTTGGACTACCTGTCGATAGTCATATACATTCTTCTTCATTTCATATCCGCAATTGGACATTATAATTAAGTGACCATCTTGGCCGATGAGGGTCTTGTGGTTGTTAGTGAGTGAAATAATTTAAGATTTAAAAGAGATGAACATACACATCAACTTATAATTTGGTATTGATCTGTATTTCAATATATAGTAGTTCCAATTCCGCAATTCCTAATATCAAGAAACACTTGAAATTCAATCTCATTCTTAATATCAACAAATTATACGTGTTTTCAGTATACCAAATATCAACAAATTCAACATGATATTCGGTATATCCAAAATATCAATGTCAAATTTTGAGCCCAATCCTTCACATCAGCCACTAGTAAGTTCTTATTGCAAAAAAAGACCAGTAATAAGTTAATTAGTTTATACTTTATAACCTTTGAGGTTCTCTGATAGACCATAGATTAATTATTTTTTGTAGAGGCAGTGATCGACCCATCAGACATATATCCAAAAAGACTTCAAACATACAATTGTTTTGTGCAACTTCATTAGTGAAATGAATGTGGAAACTAAATTCATAAAGCAAATGATTACTAAGTTTGTCTAATATATCGAACTGGATGAGAAGATGCTCTAGATGTGTTAAAACATTGAATAATTATTCTCTCATGAGACTCTCCATCACGGAATAGTTAAGACGCAGTTATTTGTTATTACTTATTTTCATCTTCTACGTTTTTGGAGACGTTGCTTTAGGCAATCAGTATGCATAATACAATAGCATAATCGATTCAACAAAGTACCCAAGAAAACGGCACAAAATTAATGAAAGGGAATGAGATTATACACCATTCCCTCACTAATTAGTCAACAAAATTCACCTAACCTTTCCCTAAAAGCTAAAACACACAACACCTACAAATTTATAAGTTAATTAATAACACTACATTACATAATAAATAAAAGAAAATAATAGAGTCCCATCTCACAATCACAATGACAGGCATCCACATGCATTGAATAACCATAAATAACAACAACGACCCCCTTCCCTTCATTCTCCTCGATTATTCATTTCTTATTTATTATCTTCTCTCTATGTCCTTCTTTATATTATTTTGCTTCAAATAAATAATTATAATATCTTGTCACTCGAACTCACCCTGCTCCATCACAACTCGAAGTTTGGTATTGGTATTTGCAATATACTCAATATCTTAACAAATTTAACAAACTTTAGTATATCAAATCTCCATTTATTTTTAGAGATTAGGTGAGATTGATTTTGGAGTGTCAATTGGTGTTCGAGATTGCGAGATTGAGATCGTTATATATCGAAGTATCAAGGAATAACATAATTTAAAAATTAAAAATTAAAAATAATTAAATATAACACACATACTTTGGTTCTACTTTAGTTTTTGACAACTCACAAGCCTCCCATCCAAACATGGGCACGGTGAGCCCTATTGGCATTGTTCAGCACAAAATCATAAACAAGCTCTACCAAGGATTGCCAAGCATTTGGTACTGAGGTGCGTCCTCCATTTTTAGTAACAAAATGAACCATAAGTAGGATCAAACTGAGAGTTAGCACATAAACAAAGATGGATTTGTGAATGAGAAATACAAATCTCCTATCTTCATAGGAATCAATGGGAGAATGGAAAATTGCTCAAGTGGGCTGTTGAAGGAAAAGACTGACCCATTTGGTGACTTTCACAGTTGCCCTCACTGAAGCGACTTGAATCGGGGCAGCAAGTGAGTCGGGCTAAGTCGCGTGTCTTCTTTTCAAGTAACATGGCGCTGAACTTGCTCTTTCAAGACGAGGTATCACCGAGCCTTCAACCGAGTTAAGCGTAAGCTAGTGAAAGCTAGGGAAAAGGTTAGGTCTTGGGCCATGCAATGCATCGAGGGCTTGTTAGTATTGGTAGGTGACATATAAACCGTAGCATTCTTTCTTCGATCAGGTTCCACTGTTCATACCGAGCTCGTACCCAATCGGATTATTCCATGAGTACGCATACATAGCCTTTTCAAAAGGAAACCGATACCCCTTCCTTATTATAGACTGAAGAAGATTTCCGACATTCAACTCGAGGACAGCACAGCCTTTAGCAGCTAGGGAGATCGGACGCTTTTCTTAAACAAGAAGGGGCTGTGTTGGATGAAAATTGGGGTTTTTGGGCGGAGACTACCGGAACTCTCGTCTTTTAGATCAAAGACCCTTTCGGACTTTCGAGTTAAAAAAAAATCCACTCTTACGGCGCTTAGCGGGGCTTTCTCTTCCAAGTCTTCCACCTCCTTATCTTGTTCCTTCTCTGTCAAGTTCATCTTATTCAGTAGATCCCCTGTGAACTTAGCATTCCCTCTTGTACCATACCCCCTATCTTCATTTAGAAGTAGCGATACTCATCGATTCGGAGAGAAACTTGAGCTAATAAATTCATATTAAAAGTTTAAAGGAAGAGAAAAGACAGGGACAGATGATGAATGGAATTCTTTCAATAGGACATGGGGCACTGCCTTGGAGAGGTAGTGTTCCTATCGACGGAGTCCATATTTATATATAAGGATGAAGTGAATGCTGACTGGACAAGAGAGAATAAAGATCTCCTCGAGGCGAAGGGCGAAGGGAGAGGAGTGAATGCCAGCCGGATCGACCAATAAAGAGATCGAACCCCTATAGCTATAGTATAAGATACGGCCGGAAGTTTCATCTTTAGTCTTACGAATTGGAGGTAAAGACTAAAAGAGGCGAGGGTTGCCTATGCCAAGGATAGAATAGTAATAGATGCGATCTCCCAGGTCGTCGAATGAGTTATTTGCTGGCATTTTCCGCGATTCCTGTTAGGGACTCGGGTGCCATTATTTCATATCTTTTTTGGCATAAGAAGGAAGTTAAAGAACCTTCTCTCACCTTCACCAAGTCATCGCCAGCTTTTTTCTCTTGGTGTCAAAGGGTTCACTCCTCTCACAACGTGACAAGGATAAATTTTGGAAGGAAAAATACCCCATATATATTTACATTGAGGATGGTACACAATACCTATAGGTGTTATGATAGTGTTTTGACACTATATCACAACTCATTACTTGTTTATAATTGATATTAAACTAATTTATTATACTGTAAACGAAATTTCAATTGCAATAAAAACCTAATAGGATCTCTTTACTCCTTATGCTTACTAGCTTTTTACCCGGCCCGTTGGCCGGTGAGTTTCATTTTATCATTTACATTGATCAATTTATCTATATGTTTAAACTATTTTGGATCTTCTAAATTTTTTACATTTGCATTCATATGTGAGTATGCAGTGCGTCTATAAATTAAAAATTCTCAATACTTAGCACATTCACTTATGATGTTTCAATTCTCTGATCATAAATCATGTCACAAAGATATATCACGTCCCATATAGAATCTTATGTCAAGATTTCTCAACAACGATACTCAATTTTTTTTATCTTGTACAATATATGCCATTCAATGAATCTCGAGTTTGGACGAAGTCTCAACCAATGATGTTGCTCAGATGACGACAACTTAGTTAGAATTTTTTTATAAAGGTACTTCAATATTAGATAAATTTGGTCTTCCCAATTGAAAGTTTACTATCTTAGTGTATGATCATATTTGTCGATCAAGACACTCAATTTAATATCTTATACAATATATACCAATTATTAATACCTAAAGTTGAATTTTGACTCACCCTCAACTCATTGTCATTGTTTAGAATCTTGGTCCAAGATACTCACACACTGTCGAGGGTTCTAATCTTAGCATGGTCCATTAGTGTATAATTTTCTATCTTATCAAATATGCATTTGCTAAAATGTATTTATATTTGGTGTTTGTTAACAATATCTAAGCATGATACTATACTCTCAGTAAGAAAACGCTATCAGAATCACGAATTAACAGAGTTTGTGGGCATGATACTATGCCCTAACCCTTGATAAGTGAACCCGAGGTCTTAGTTATCTAAATCATAGAGCTTAACCCCTAAGATTGTGCATGTAATTTGTTGCATATATTTTGTCGAATCATGACCGTTGATTTTTGTTTATAATTAAACTGATCTTAGTGTATGAGATTTATAAATTTAAGACCTAGATTTTAATCTTTAAGGCTTTGAGAATAATACCATATGCCAAACTCTAGTCAATTCAAGGTCTATATATCGTTTTCTTACTCAAGGTATGTCATAATATACATATATAAATATAAAGAATTTAACATATTTTTAAGTGTAATTAACACATTTGTTTGACCGAAATATGTAAACTGTTAAGAAAAATAAGGGGAAATATGAACAAATGTAAGAGAAAATAAGGTATGGAAACATGCATTATAAGAGAGAAGAAAAGTTGTCTTTCTTTATCGTCTTCATTTGTACAATCAGGTACTACATTATGGCTTCGTCATGTTTCTATTAAAATGAAAACAACAACTTTTCAAGTATTTTGCTATTTAATACTTGTTTTTGTTGATAGATACAAATATTAGAAAAAGATAGTGTTTGATAACCAAAACATAAAATTATATAGTTGGTTTTTCAAATTCAATTGATTATTAAATGTTTATTATCTAAACTTCACTATATTAAGTTCTAATAAAAATAAAAATTAATTGATCAGATTTAATCAAATATATTTTTTTGAAAATTACAATATATGTTACTCTCCAAACGTAAGTATACTGCTGCTACACATATATTGCAAAAAAATTATTGAATAAAAAAAGAAAACATTAAAAGAAGATAGAGATAGATAAATAAATGATCATTAAAATAAAAGAAAAATATTAAAAGAAGATAGATATAGCTACACTAATTGATCATTAATAAACTTTTTGTTTGTAAAAAAAAAGTGTCCACCATGGCACCTTGTAAATTCTCCAAATGCTTATGTGGCAACAAACTACTTTTGAATTGCCATAATATTATGTATAGATAGATAGATAGATAGATAGATTAGAATTTTTCCCCCAACAATCCTGAAAATTGTCCATCGATAGCGGCAATTCAACTAGTTTTGATTCTACCCATTGCAATTGCAAGTGTAGATAGAGTATTTTCAGCTCTGAGCTATATTAAGAGCAAGCTTCGAAGACGAATTGACGACTAGTTTACTAATGATCATTTAGTGCGATACATTGAAAGAGACTTACTTAATAGTGTAGATAACGAGATTTGTGTGTGTGTGTTTCTTCACAATATTAAATCATGTTGGTTCTGCATCCAAGCCAATGTTGGCTTTTCAATTTAAGTCACTCTTGCCTCACTCAATATCTTGTTATTTTCATGACGTCAAAAGACAGACACTCTCATTATTTGTCTCTCCACATCCGATCTATCGAAATATATATTATCAATGATGATATCACCATCTCCTCCCTTCTCCTTATCAATGTTCTAGCTCTAGACGAACTGAAGATTCTTTTCCTAATCTCTTTGCGATAAGTGGAAAACTATATTGTATCCGTTCTATGGAAATTTGAGAATCCAATTAATGATGACTTCGATTAGTTTTTATTAGACCATCCGACGGGTGTGAAAAAGACAAGTCTGTTGTTCGAAAAGAAGTCTTTTCAATTATTATTAGTTTCTGTCATCTAATTCCTTTTTTTTTTGTGTGTGGATATTTTCCTTACTAATAATTTCGAATTTGTTGTGGAATGTTATTTGTAGTATTTTGGTTTTGATGGGAGGAAAGGAAGCATCCCATGCTGAGACAAGACAACACCGACGGGGTACCGCCGTTTCCCGTTCCTCACCACCACGCGTCGCTGGGGGCCCCACTCTCCGATGAGTTTCTTTTTCTTTTCATCGAGACTTTTTCCGTTACAGGTTGTCGTTTGTGAATTGTGATGCCAAATTACTGCAATGGGTTTTGTTTGGAAGAAAGGGCAACTCGACTACTCGAGTGAAAATTTGACTGCCGCAAAGCAAACAAATCCCATACATGAAACCTCGGACGATTATGTTTCGGGGAGTATCATAAAACCTAGAAGAAGAAGTCGCAACACACATATATGTACCGGGTAGTTTGGTTTTCGTGATAATTAAATTGATGCATTGTCATCAATGTATATATAATAATATGCATGTATATAAAAAAAATTGGTGTATTATAGTTTACATCCTTTGATTTCTGTGATAGTTATTGTTGTATTTAAACAAGTTATATTACTTTTTGGGTGAAATGTCACTTTTAGACTTTGTTTTTAATATTCAAAAGTAACACACATAAAAAGGTAGGGACATGGTTGGAAGAAAAAATAACTCAACAATCACCACCAAACAATCTCAACAATCTCACCAAAAACTTGAGATTTAACTATCACTCATTTTGAGTGATAGTTTGTATCACATCAAGCACACAATGCATGTATTGATTGTGCAGAAAATTAAAAAAAAAATGCATTATGGACAATACATGCATTAGGGGAGTTCGGTTTCCGGTTAGCAGCTAACTGGCCGTTTTAACCGAAAACCGCCGATTAGCATCTAACCAAAAATCGACGGTTATTTACCTTGGTCGGTGGAAGAAAGGTGGTTTTCGGTTAGTCGAGTAACCGAGGATGACTAACCGCGGTTACCCGACTGACCGAAAATAACCGCCCAGCCACACAAAGCCCAACCCAGGCATCCAAAGCCCATGCCCAAACCCAGCCCAACCATCTTGCCTTCTCCCTAATTATTTCTTCTCCGTCTAGCCAGCCATCCAAACCCTTCCCTAAGATTTTTTTTTTTTCTTCTTCCTTCGCCATCTGCCCATTTCCCTAATTCTTTCTTCTTCTTCCGCTCCAATAACGCCATCTCCCATCCCCGACAACCCTAGGCTCCGTACGTCTCTCATCGCCATCCCCGCCTTCCTCCGTCGAGCCAGCAGACAGAGCAGGCAGCGACCCAAGGCCCCCACCCCCACCCCCTGCAGATCTATCCATCACTCTGCCTCCCCATTTTCGCCTCTCCTGCGCCGGGGACGTCGTCGTTCCCTCCGCTCACCTCTCGTGATGTCCGCCTCTGCTTCTCCTCTGTAGTGTCTAAATTTGAAATGAAGGAAGGAGTGATCTTGTGTGGTGGGTTTGAAATGGAGGAAGGAAGGAGAGAGAAGGAAGAAGTGGTCTAGTGGTTTTTTTTTTGGAGGAAGGAGACAAGGATTAAGTGGTGAGTATTCACGTTTGTTTTTTTATATATAATTTTTAATGAATTTTTTTGGAGAAAAGGGAGGGTTTTTCGGGTATGCGGCTAACTGAACCAAAATCGATAACCGATCGGTCAGTGGCCGGCTACGGCTAGCCGTGATGTCCCTCACGGTCGTTGGTCGACAGTGGGATGTGGTGGCTCGGTTTAATCGATAAATCGGTTTTCGGTTAAATCAAAACTGACCGACCGACACCCCTAACATGCATTATAACTATTCCCATCAAACAATCACCAAAACCAAACGACCCCATAGTAAATTTGCATTTTGAATATTCTTCGTGTTATCGGCAACGTTGTGTTGCTGGACCTTTTTAGACGAAAATGCAACGAAATATCGATTTCAAAACCGGTTGATTTTTAGAATTATGGGCTATGAATCGAAGCTTTCACAACATTTCAGTTCATTGACATACATTAATATCTCGATTTTAAATTCTTAACATTAGTTTTGTGAACATGCCAACAACATTCGATCAATGGTCATCCTTCTCGCATCCATGCTTGCAATCCTTTCTGAAAGATTTTGTATTGCATATTGCCCGAACTCTATGTTCAACTGGAGCTCTAGAATCCCAAGATTGACTATTCTCAAGACTAATGTTAACATCAATTTTTTTCCCACTGAATCCATAATCGAACTAATTCAAATTTTTGTTATTATAGTGCTCACAATTTATTTATGAGAACCATCTCATAGTCATAGGTGCTTTGCATGACGTCATTATGTCGACGATAACGCTTTATGGAGTCGTTTGGAAGTTGCGAATGTTAAATCGTTGCATTGTAATGAATCAAAATAAAATAAATACATGTATTGGTACAATGTATGTATTTTAGGGGTCATTTGGCTTTGATGATAGTTTGGTTGAGATAGTTACAATACATGCATTGTTCACAATGCATTGTTTTTTTTATTTTCTGCACAGACAATACATGCATTGTTTGCCTGATTTGACACAAACTATCACTCAAAATGAGTGATAGTTAAATCTAAAGTTTTCGTTGAGATTGTTTGGTAGAGATTGTTGGGTTTTCTTTTAAAGGGTAAAAGTGACATTTCACGCAAAAAGTAATATGCCTTATTTAAATACTACAATAACTATCACATGAACCAAACGATGTAAACTACAATACATCAATTTTCATATATACTGCATATTATTATGCATGCATTGATGACAATACATCAATTTAACTATCACCAAAAGTCCAAAACCAAACGAATAATACATTGTTTGGTTGTTGAGATTCTATTTTATGTATTGATTTGCATAAAGTTACTTTATAGGAAAATGTCACATTTATCCTCAACTTTTAGTATAAGACAAAAACTAATAGGGATATAAATGAAAAGAAAAGTTGGACACAAATCTAAAATCAACGATCACAACTTTTAGTTGAGATTGTATAATGCATCATTTTTTGTGATTGTTGGTGGGACCTACCTAAAACAATACATGCATTGTTTTACACTTTGACATTTCCAACATTGTATTGTGCACAATACATGTATTCAATAAACACAAGTTTAACAATTACAATCCATTTTATTTACTAATAAAATTCCACCACATTCATCCAACGACATCAAAACACTCGAGCACATAATCGGATTAGTACGAAAACAAGCACAATTTTGTAGGGGTGGAGGACCGGTCAGTTCGATTATAACCGAAAAATCAAAGGGTCGGTTATCGGTCAACCGAACTACCTCTAACCCTACCGACCACCGACCAACAGAGGGCTTAAGCCTTCGGTTATCTTGGTTTTCGGTTAACCGAACTGCCCCCAAAACCAAAACCATAGCGCCAACCTCCGAATACCTATCGAATTTCGATTATTTTGGTTTTCGGTTAATTTGTAACCGGCCGATTTTGATTATAACCGATCGGTTAACCACTAACTGCTAACAGATTGTCGAGCCCGAAGTAACTAACTCATAAAAGGTTACATATGCAATTTTTCAGCTTCCACGCCACCGTTTTTTGTCCCCGGTCAACTGTCAAAACAGGGCTTAATTAATTAATTTTTTCCATAGACAAGTATGAAAGAATAACCGCTAGTGGTTTCTCCTTTGCCGACTTGGCGACTTTAACGTCCTCCCCGCCTTTCTTCTCTCTCCTCTTGCATGATTAAGAGGCCCATTTCCCGGCTCTCCCTCCGGTGACGTGGCGTCATCCAATTAGTGAGTTGGCTGTCGTCGGGATTCATAGCCAACGCAGCCAATAAACGAAGAACCTGTCACTCTCATATTTCTCTCTCTCCTCTGAAGAAGAAAAGAAAAAAGAAAGCAGAACAGAGCACACTCAACATTTTTTTTTTGGGGTGCTCTGTGGTTTTTCTCCCCCACAAAAACCCCAACAATCACTCGAATTCTGTCTTCTTCCGATCTCCCGACCGACGTAGCCGCAATCGGCAATGCACGATCTCCATTTCGGTTGTTGTTTCGTGTCCTGATGTTGTGAATTCGGAAGTTGTTTTTTCACAGCTTTGAGTGAGAAAAAAAATAAAAACAAAAACAGAGACTGTGAAGAAAGAAAAAAAAAAGCAGGGGAAAAAGAATGCTGCAGGCAATGGAGAGTTCGGTGAACGGCGGCTACGGCGGAGGAGGGTTCTCGCAGTTTCAAAGCTGTGGCGATAGCAGCGAGGAGGAGCTCTCCGTGCTGCCGCGTCACACTAAGGTGGTGGTGACCGGGAATAACCGGACCAAATCGGTGCTTGTGGGGCTGGAAGGCGTTGTCAAGAAGGCTGTCGGCCTCGGCGGTTGGCATTGGCTGGTTAGTCCCTCTGTCTCTCTCTCTCCCGAGCTTTTTAGCAAATGGGTTCTGTGCGTTTGGCTTGAATTGTGTGTGGGTCTTAATTTTCTTTTAATGGGTTTGGAAGTTTTTGGATTGGATTGGATTGAATTGGAGTGTGGGTTAATGACAGTGTTGTTGGGCAATGTGGGTCAGATTTTTGGTGGGAGGTTTTGGGTTGGGGATTATTGTTTCGGTAAATTTCATTGAGGCTTTCTTTTCTGCATTAATCTATTGGGGGTTATTGATTAAGAGAATCAATTATAGTTTTAGATGACTGTCTTCTCTAGAACTTTTCCCATTCACATTAATGGGGAATCTGGGCCGCGAGTCCAATTGGTTCATTGGCAAGTTTTGCATGAATCGATCTCTTCTGTGTATAAAAATTAGGTTTCGTTTCAAGGTTTTTGAGCGATTAGTCCTGATTTCAATTCACAATCTTCACTAGTGGATCTGGTGGTTCGTTAGCGTGGGATTGAGAAATGACGTTTTGATTGATGTCCCATTGTCGGATTGCTTTTTTGGTTGTTGGGTGTTGCATGGTGGAAGTTTGATGATGAGATAATCTTTCCATTGATTCCTGGTTAGTTGCCTATAATCTTTTCCAATTGGGTCTGATTAGGGTCTGGTCAAGCTTTGAGCTTTGCATGAGGAAATCATCATCATCCTCAGCTTCTTCTCGCTCATGGCGTCTCGTTTATTTTGGGAAAAGCCCCCTTTAAACACTTGTCAAAAGCAAAGAAAAAGAAAAAAAACCATCTTGTTCTCGTAGCTCTGCACATGGGAGAGGGGGAGAGAGGGAAACAAACATTTTTGTCCTGCGCCCTCATAAGAATACTATCTTGTTATCCGCTTTAGGCAGGTTTTTAATACCTGGGCCTGATGTTCTATCCGGCTAAACAGATATACAATTACAGCTGACTTTGTGTCTTCTTTCAGCTGGAATTTGAACCTAGTGGAGTTTTTTATTCATCCGAGGAAAGTTTTTTATGCAAATTTTTTTTCACCAGGTTCTTACAAATGGCATAGAAGTGAAGCTGCAGAGAAATGCACTCAGCGTACTGGAGCCACCAACTGGTAATGAAGATGACGACGACCTCGAATTCGAGACCGCACAGTGGAATGTTTCAGATATGAGTGAGTGTTTCTATTAACCGAATGTTTGTTTCCTTAATTGGTACACACAATTTGCCCTTTTGGTTCAGTATTTGTTCAGCATTAGTTCATCACTTCTTGCCAGCTACTGAACAGCTCTTGCGTGCTTTGTATGGTTGTTTACTGTAATTGAGACCGTAATCTAATTCAGTGGTTGAGCATTTAACACAGTGATGTTGAACTCTATCTGCTTTTGTCGTTGTTAGTGGAAAATTCGAGGGGGAGAAAAAAAGGAAAAGCAAGTGATCAAAGAGTTTGGTGCATAGGATCCATTCTGTCTCCACCTTTAAACTTTCACTTTAGCCAAAAGCTCCATTGTCTTATTATTACGCTCTCTTTATCCTTTTGTTTCGAGTGGACCCATTTCTGCCAACCTTTGATTCGTTTCCATTGTATTCTTGTGGGGGGTTTCAATGGTCCAGCATCTGATGATACCCAGAAGTCCCACAGATCGCGGCATAACAGGACGCACAAGTCATCAGGATCATCTAACAAGTCCTTCAGCAGATCTCTATCTTGTGACTCACAGTCCAAGAGTTCTGTTTTTACTCCTCGTGGGTCCGCTGCGGTTAGTCACCCGTCACACTACTTGTATTACTCTTGTTTGGTTGGCTTCTTCTTGTGTTCTTGAGCTTGGCTCTTATAGGTATATATGAACTTTGGTTGCAGAAGGTTGACCTTAGCAAGCTGGAGATGGCCGCATTATGGAGATATTGGCGACACTTCAATCTGGTAAGCTCCAGCTGTTTCAAATTTGGCAGTTCATCTAATTAGATTAAATGTGACGATGTAGCTAGGTAAATGGTTAGTTGGTTTGTCGACGGTCTGTAATAACTATACCAAACTACTCATACCATGTTAGTTGAGACTTCTTTATCACATCTAACCAGATGAACTAAAATCGAGTTCTGGTATTGGTAAGATGTCATGGTACATTTAAGTTTGAACACCCCTATTGATTAGGTTGTGGTGTTTTTGGTGAAATCAGATGGATGCTTTCCCTAACCCATCGAAGGAGCAGCTAGTCGATGTCGTGCAAAGGCACTTCATGTCACAGGTACAAATAATAGTATCCGCCATACCTTCTGCATTTATGTATCTCTACATAAAGCTCCCAACGAGTCTGAAAGAAATGGTGGTTTGTGTTTCTGGCTTTTGGTGGTGAAGCAAATGGATGAGTTGCAGGTCATAGTCGGATTCGTTAAAGCAGCAAAGCGACTGAAGACGGTGTGCAAATGATGACCACAGATCATACTACTACAACTACTGAGATTGGTAACGATGAGGCTCATGAACTGTGAGATTTGAGTTTGAGGCCTCATCTCAATGCTAACCAGATTCACCCTTCCCTTTCTGGGATGTCCATTCCCCCCCTTGTTTTTACCCTTGTCTTTGCTTTTGCTTAAGCTGCAATATATCTATATATACAGACCCTAAGGTGTAGTTTGTTTGTCTCGTCGTCGTCGCGTCGATGTCTGAGTCCTGGTGATAGCATTCTGGGTAGCTGTTGGAGTCTTAAAGTCTCATCTCATTTGGTTCATGGGATTTATAGAGGTTGGAGGTGAGTCAATGTAATAGTGGTTAGTAGTAGAAGAGTTTATAGTAGTATATGTAGATATTATGGTCATAGTATATAATGATAGTAGTAAGGAAATATGTGTGGACAGATCAAATGTATGTTCTGACTGTGAGGGGGGAAGTTGGGATTTCAGTTGGAAATTGTATATATCATCTTTTCGTTTTGGTATTTGGCTCAGTCCTTTTGACCCTTTACTACTTAATTAGTGTCCTTAATGATATCTTATTAGGGGGAGGAATGAGAGGGAGTCAAAGTTATGATCTTTCAATCTTTATCTTAATCAGGCTTTGTCGATAGTGGTGAATTATAATTATAATTATTATGTTTAATTATTTGGGATATTATGATTGATTATGATGAGGGATTTTCCAATGTTGGGAGTAGAGAAATTGGGGGTTTAACGCGAAGTGAGCTCTCAGTGTCAGTGAAATGAAAGATGGCGGTGGGTGGTTGTAGCCTGTAGGTCTCAACTGTTTCTGTTTTGTAGTTCATTTTCGTATTGAAAGCAACCATATATATATATATATATATAATAATAATAATAATAATGGAAGGAATAAATAAATAATGAAAGTCGGTGTCAAAATCCCAAAGATATCCAAGTATCTAATATTGGTCCCCCATGTCTGCAATCCGTCCCTGTGCTGTGATATTTGATCCAATTTTTTTGTTGAGGAATTCCGATTGGAAATTCTTCTCCTTTCTTGAGAGAACAAAGGCCCAATAGGTGGTCCAATCCATCTGTTGCTGTTGAAAGGCCTCGGAGCCAGCCCAACATTCCATCTTCAGATTTAGTTCCTTAAACTGGATTAGGCCTAACAGAAGAGACAGAGGTATCTTTTCCCCAGATGGGCCTATTTGTTGTGAAGGCTTTTATCTTTATGTGATGTGAATATACACAAGACTTTCAGCTAAAATATGACGAGTTACTTTACATAGGAGAAAAGAATCGATAAGTTACTAGTTGCATAACAGGGTTTGTAGCAGTGTTATTAAAGTCGAACCGAGCCGCTCGGCCCGACCGGTAAAACCGCCACCTGGTCACAAAACCGGCTCGGAACAGTCTAAAAACTGCTCCGGTTTTATGTAGCGGTTGGCGAGCGGCCTAGGCGGTTAACCGTTCGAGCCGATCGAGCCGCTCATCCGGTTTTTGCCATTCAGCTACTAAATTTAATTACAAAAATTGTAGTAAATTAAAAATTGAAATAAACCAAAAACGTCGGGCTCACAAATTGAATCCTTATTTCAATTTCACAATTTCGAAGGAAAGAGATGAGCTCTGATTAAGAAATGTCAACTATTTATACTGATAACGTTTATTAGATACCGGTTCTCTAACGATTTTTAAACGGTCTAATGTCGGTTGGACCGCTAAAGTTCGAGCCGTTCGCATTACCGGGTCATGCTCCGGTTCGATTCTGACAACATTGGTTTGTACGTCATATTAATGTGACGTGAATATACGTGAAGAGTTTTAGCTAAAATATGATAATACGTTATCACAGAGATGGCGGAAGAGAACCCATTGTCAGCCTTTCGATTTGGCACCGGTAACCTCCACCACGATAATTTTTTTTTCGTGTTTCATTTTTTTTTGTTTAGCTAAGGTGTAACACCCCGACACTTGGGTTCAAATTCGACCTTAACAAATAAACGGTTATCTACGAAAAACACGCAGTTGAACCAAACTAGGTTAAGGACCAAAGCCTAAGTAATTGAAGCCGGTGGCGGATCCAGGGCTGGGTCAACCCAGCAGTGGCGGATCCAGGGGGAGGCCACCCCGGGCCCCGGCCCAGCTCTCCTCTGGATCCATAGTTAGTATAGGCCTTATGAATTTTTCGATTTTAGATATTTGGGTCGTTGTTATTTTAAAATAAGATTGGGTATAATTAGAAAAATAATTCAGATGAACATATTCAAAATCACTACTCTAAATTTAGCTTATAAATTCTAACCCCAAAGGTTATTCGTCTAAAAAAATGAAACCTAAAAATTCAAAAAGTTTAAAACGTAAAAGACTAAAACATATATGAGGTTTGTTACCTTGGAAAATTTACCAGAGCAGCTGGTGGATATAGGAATGGAAACACAATGCAAATTGATTAGTAGATTGATCTGTCTAGTGTTGATGCTGCTCGTTTCAACAGCTAATACGAATAGAACCTTTTCAACAACGAAACATGTGAAAATTGATTTGCGCAACAAAATGAGCGATGGATTTCTAGTCGATTGCTCAAGTATTTTATTTGAAACAGTATATACTATTGGTATGGATGTGGACTCTATTAATGCATTCGCTAAATTAAAATACCGTCGTGTACAATTTACATTGTAAAAAAATTATAATCATTATATTTTTTAACTATTCTAATTTTCTAATAAAATGCGGCCCAGTGCACTTCTGTGTTCTGAATCCGCCGCTGCAACCCAGGCCCCGACCCATCCCTCCTCCGGATCCAAGTTAGTTTAGTGCTTATAAAATTTTTCGCTTTAGGTATTGGTCCAGTGCTATTTAAAATTATGTCTAGTTTTATTTGATAATAGGATTTTGTGTAACTAGAAAAATGGTTCAGATGAACATATCCAAACCATTACTCTAAATTTATACTAAATTTTCTATAGCCCCAATGATTTTATTTGAAAAATGACATGAAAACCTAAAAGTGTAAAGTTCCATTAAAAAAAAACTCTAAACTAAAGCACACCCTTCCTTGCAAAATTCAAAAAATTTCCCAATCCCCCCCAAAACAAAACAAGAACGAGGAGACGAGCAGACCCAAAATGGATTTCTCTGCCAACCCGTCGAGCTGGTTTTCTTTCCATTCTTTTGATTAAGAAAATATTTACTAACTTGCTGAGTCATCGTTTAGGTTGCCTCAATTGAGTGGGGCACTAGATTCTAACCGTTCTTTCTGGTGTTTTGATGAAGAAAATATTTACAAACTTGCTCAAGAGTTTAGCCTCGAGACTTTGAAGGCTATGAGATGCATTCTTTGGAGAATGCACTACTCATGTGAGGAAGATGAAGTTTCTTCTCTTGCAAAATTATTAGAGAAGCTGGAGGAAATAGGGTTGGACACATAATACAAATTGATTTGTCGGTTGATTTGTCTAGTGTTGACCTAGCCGTTTCAACAACTACCATGAAGAGAATATTTTCAGCAATGGAACATGAACATTGATTTGTGCAACAAAATGAGCGATGAATTTCTCGTTGATTACTTAGTTTTTTTTTTTTTGAAAAAGAGTATATTATCAGTATGGATGAAGATTATATTATGGGGCTTGCTATTTGCCGCCAACCAAATTGCTATTTGCCGCCAACCAAAAAAAAAAGTATATATATACATCTTTGGTTAAGGAGTTTCACAATCTACAACATATCCAACTTTCAGAGAACGTATTGAATCAGAAAAATTCAACGCTCGCCGGAAAAGTCGCCGGAAAATCATCGATGAAAAAAAAAGTATATATATACATCTTTGGTTAAGGAGTTTCACAATCTACAACATATCCAACTTTCAGAGAACGTATTGAATCAGAAAAATTCAACGCTCGCCGGAAAAGTCGCCAGAAAATCATCGATGAAAAAAATAAAGTATATATATGCATCTTTGGTTAAGGAGTTTCACAATCTACAACATATCCAACTTTCAGAGAACGTATTGAATCAGAAAAATTCAACGCTAGCCGGAAAAGTCGCCGAAAAATCATCGGGAAAGCCTATCCTCGACATATACTGCGTACACGCATCCATGAATCATCACTAAGCAGGTGCGTAATTTTTTTGTAGTTTCGAACAATTTTTCCGACGATTTGAAACGAACGGACGGTGGGCCGAAAAATTCCGGCGGCCGGAACCTGGCCGGGCCGAAAAATTCCGGCGGTTGCCTACGTGCGAGGTGAATGGTTGCCTCATCAGACAATGTGGGCAAAGTGCTACACGAACCATGTGTTTCAAACCCTAAACCCTGAACCCTAAACCCTAAACTCTAAACCCTAAACCCTAAACCCTGAACCCTGAACCCTGAACCCTAAACCCTTGGTGGTCGGCAGCGAGCCAGGCAGAGAGACCCCCGAAGAGCTAGGGGAAGGGGTAGGAGCAATGCATAGTGTTGCAATGCTCTATTTATACGTTGTTGTTTTTCTAGTTGTATTTTTAATGACCCTAGTGTCATTATGAACTTATGGATTTCATTATGGATTTCGAGCGAGTTTGGGGTCGATTGGACGAAGATCGGGCGCGAGGCAAGTCAAAAAGAAAGCCACACGGGCACACACACAACTCACACGGCTGTGTGAAGTTGCACTTTGGCCGTGTGGAATTCTGCGAGGCTTCACACAGCCAGGCTGGGTGAGCTACACGGCCGTGTGAAGTTTCACTTTGGCCGTGTGGAATTCTGCGAGGCTTCACACGGCCAGGCTGGGTGAGTTGGGTGAGCTACACGGCCGTGTGCCCCTGGCCGTGTGGGAAGCCTGAAACCCAATTACTCGGGCCGAAAAACTTTTGCGGCCGGTGCGCCGCCGGGCCGAAAAATATTTGCGGCCGGTGCGACGCCCGGCCGAAAAATTCTTTCGGCCCGACGTCGCTCCGGCCGCAAATTTTTTTCGGCCGGCCGACGAACACGCCGTCGGAAATTTTTTGGCCGGCGTGTTCGGCCACCGGCCGAAAAAAATTCTTTCGGCCCGACGTCGCTCCGGGCGCAAATTTTTTTCGGCTCGGCGGCGTTCGGGCCGAAATTTTTTTTCAGCCCGCTGTGTTTTTCGCCGAAAAACTGGAAAACTTACCGGAAAAAGTAAACTTACTTGTTTTCCGACGATTGAGGGCTACGGGAGGTTAGCCGACGACAGAAGAACGGCGCCGGCGACGGAGGCACTGGGAATGAAGGGAAAATTCAAAATTTGAATTCATTTTTTTTTTTAGTTGGCGGCAAATAGCCGTTCACTATATTATTGATGAATTTGCTAAATTAAAAGACATTCTTGTACAATGGGCGTTGTAATGAAAACTATATTATCATATATTTTTGTTTATGGTATCTAATACTCTATTCAAATACGGTTCAGTGGTCTTTTATTTCCTGGATCCGCCGCTGATTGAAGCGACCCAAATTGTTCGTTGTTGGCGGAAGGGTTGCCACCGTGGGTTGAGAGTAATTATTATATTTATGAATGATTATATATATAAAGCCAAAGCAAACCCTAAACAAAACCCTTATGATCAATGGGGTGTGTGTATATAATAACTATATATACGTACTCCAGCTAGACCTCGATCGGGGGAGGGGAA